TAAAAAAACCTGACTTGTAGGTACTCGGGACCGAGAACCGAGTGAAAGTAAAATACAAAATGGCGACTCTCTCTACAAACAGGCAAACCGAAGTCAGGTGGTGAGAGTACCCACAGTCGTTCAAGAAAATGGACTCTGACCCTAGGACTGAACACGTAGTATTTTCTTTCTTAAATAAAATTTGTAATCTAATTTTGTAAATTTGGGAGTGCTTCAAATATGACATTAAAACAGGGTTTTATGTCGTTACAAGTAGTTTTTTAACATTGTCTAGTATAGTAAAATCGTGGGACCAGTAAAAATTTGACGTTATAATCAGGTTAAACTGTATATTGTTTGTGCAAAATAAAAAAATAAATAATTTCGGACGATACAATAGCCACGATTATTTTTTTCAAAGACGAGAAATTTTCGTTAGGCATCGACAAAAATTCAACCCGGGTGGACACGCAACAGAGAAAAATTTCGAAATTGGATAGGTTAATTTCATCGAAAATGCATGATGGACAGCCTCGTGATCGTGGCTGCCGAAGTTTGAACGATCGCGCCCAAAAGCAGCGATACCAAAGAAGGTTGGAGAATGAGAAAGAGATCCGCTTTGAGCGTCAAAGTGATTCCGCTTAGTAGTGTCTCCGAGACATAGTCGTGTCCCAAATACGGTTTTGCCGTTTTACTTAATTTAACCTTTTTGGTTAATATTTAAATAATATAATATTTTACCAGTATTATACAGTTGTCCAACAGAAGAGTAATCTATCTTATTTACAAATCTTTTCAAAATAGACAGTTTGACCGGGCCCTTCTAAAAACCAGGCCCTAGACATTTGTCTCATTTGTCTATGCGATGATCCGGCCCTGGCTTTAGATGTTGAAACAGAGTCGTCATTATTGCTAATAAAACTTTTTCTAAATTCATCCTGTTGAATTTGATGTGTTTCCTGATAAGGCAAACATCAGGCAAAATAAGACACAACTTGCGAAATGTATTTTATCAATTTGAAAAATACTCCCAAATATTAATTTTTTTTTCTGATGGACATTCTACAATTTAAAGATAACAGAAATATTGTTTTCCTTGACAATACTGAGAAATACACGGCTAACGGTTAAAGTTAGAAAGAATAGATGGCACTGTACTCAAAGGTAACTAATTTTAAAACATGAAGATAAAAAATAATTATTATTTTCATGTGAAAAGAACGATATAAAATTAGACTGTCGATAGTAATGATATTTATAAAGCATCGATATTACTGATAGCGATAGTATTCGAGCACTAGTTCACTGTACAGGAATCATCCGGATGTTGAAAAGTGAGGACTGACATACCCGACAATCTGAAGAAATATGGGTCAGTCATAATTTCTTCAACTGGATCCAGCAGTCGCCACACAACACAAAACTCTAGCGGGCTTACTGTTTCACGAAAATCCAAGAAGCGATGGCCAGGAATTGGTCCCGGATCCACTCGAAGTCAAAGATTAGCCTTCGAGCTCACCCGACCGTAAACTTATACGGTTAGTTCCCCTCATCCATTTCCTATTATATTCAGCAAATGACAAAAATAAACGAATAAACCAAACGACAAAGGGTTTTAGTAATATAAAATAGCTCGAATGCAGTATAAAAACGCGATAGAATAGTTATTACTGGAATCACAGAGTTGAATATACGTTACTGCAGCTTGATGGCCGGATGGCAGAGTACTCAATCTTGCTGAAGCCGTATGCTTTTTATTACGCAGAACATTAGCATCAATACTGTATATTCAAAAGTGGATAAGCAATTCCATGTTCACTATTTTGACGAAACACTAAAGCAATAAACTAATAAACTTTAATGTTTTGAATAAAATATAAACGTGGAATTGTCTACAAATGAAGTAAAGTGTTGAAGTATATTAAAATAAATTTGCGCCCACCAGTGGCCCAGTGGATAAAACCACTTGGCCACTGGTGCCGTTCGTTACACAAATAAACCAAACCAAAATAAATTTTCAATAAAAACTTTAGTCATTTTTTTCTTTTGTGGAACTCTCCACGTAAAGTTTCAGGAACACGATTAAGAACTACTGTGTTAAGGTGGCAGCTTACAGCAGTCGAATCCTGATGGGTCGAAAATCTCTAAGAATTGTCGGGTTGTATGAATGAGTTTGGCCAAACTCATACTGGACTTACTAAAAGAAGGCCCTCTTAGTACCTACAGGAGGAAATTAAAAAATCATGTTGCGCTTTTTTACATAGTAAATGTTTATTTTCTTTTCTTGATTGCTTTTTACAATGATAAATTCTTTTTACATTAGCACTTGAATGTTGTTAGGAACAGTCCATTGGTTGCGAGTTTCCGCCTGACCAACAGGCTGGCCCAGTGGAGTTTTCATGATTTTCTTCCCCTGTAATAACTAAATAAGGGCCAATTTCCCATATAAAGTCCTCCAGATGCATCTATCTATCCATGAGTTGTTACCAAATGCATTTTAAGGGAATCGAAAGAAGTATATCAGTGTACCCGATGAGAAGGGAATGGGAGGTGGGCGAGTGGTCTCCGTAGCCNTATATATATAGGCTATATAAAGTTACCAGTTAACTAACTTTTGTGTCAATGCTGGCTTTATATATCATATCGGTTAACTGATTTTCGGGGCACTCTGTACATTATCGGATCTAGTTACAGGGCTTAATAATATACAGAACGATTCGAAATTGTCCGCAGACAATTATGGGCCACTTTGAGTGGCAAAAAACGTCCGGGGCCCGGAACAAAGTGGCCTGCAGGCTATTTTTTCGGGGGCCCAGACAAAATTTTATCTTTTATTAAAAATATATGAAAGTAAAAAGTTTCTTTTGACAGGTACTGATGAAATTTAATTGATTTTATGTGTTGAAAAGGGCAATTATATGATACACCAGGAGTACACAGGGGTGACTTTCCACTCCTTCAAGGACTTACAGTTACATACAGTTAATAATTAATTAATTAATCTGGTAAGACAAATCACATACTATTTTCATAGAAAAGATCTACTTACAATGCCCAAATTTACATCCTAAACTGTCATATACATCACCAATTTGACTAAAATTTTTATAAATCGTTTTCAATCGAATCCCCCCGACTAATTTTCGACCACTAAAATTTAATTAACAACCTGCTGGGATCTATATCGAACACTTTAGAGACACCTGTAGTAGACAGTACACACCATACAGCATAGAAATGGAAGTCGAACACATGGATCATCTGCGAATATCGAGGTAAAGATTTGGCAAGATTATCCTCTCAATCCCTCTGTCAAACTGTCAAACATTCACTTCTCTCAAATTTACAATCATGTAAGACCTCTCACAAGTTCGCGAGCTCTCAAAAACTCGTCTTTTTCGTATTAATTACCTGTATTTTTATGGCATCCGAAAGGCCCTATCGTACCCCCTGCAGCAAATTATAGTAACATAATACGGCACTGCAGTGAAATCTAGTAATACTGTAACAGTGTTGTATACTATTATTAGCTATTATACTGTCTAAAGTTGTATTTATGAATAGGCCATTACAGACTGAAAACGTTGCGTTTATAAATCACTCATGTGTGGCTAAGAAACTAAAATTCTATTTGTTTCTTAAAACTTATTTTTAGATTTAATAATTAATTAGATTTAAAAAAAAATTATCTCATGAAAGGAGAGATAGGCATACTGTATCTATAACTACGGCTTAGAAAGGTGAGATCTGTTGTGGTCTTAAAGCAGTGTTTCTCAACCTCTAACGAATCGTCGCCCCCTTCAACGTAGTATCGCCCTCTTCAGTAAACCGTTACGTAGTATCGCCCCCTTCACTACAAAATTCCAATGCCGAGGGCCAAGACTAACGCCAAATTCGTACTGCATTGAATAGACTAGTGACTAGTATAATGTTATTTGTTTAATTATTATACGATATAACGAATAAAATATCAAAATATTCTTAATATAATGTTTTACTATATCGCCCAGAAAATTGTTTTTCGCCTCCCAAAACATAAATTGTTCTAATCGCCCCTCAACATGGAAAAACGCCCACATCGGGACGATATCGCCCCGTTGAGAAACACTGTCTTAAAGTATACGAACCGCACGGGCATACCTGGCTATGGACAGAGGCCTCATTACTACTTATTAATTAATTAATATATTTGTTCTATATCTGTATAATGCCTTTAAATAAATTGGACCTGGGGCCTCAAAAGTGCTTTAGACTATTCTGAAGAGGCCCGTCTCTCTAATTTAAGAGTGAGGAGTTAAAAAATAAATCTAAACTAGACCTTGAGGCCCTTTATATAGTAAATAATTATTTATTTATTTACTTATATTTAAAAATATAAAATTTAAAAATTATTCTACCTTAAATCAAGTTTTAAACGTTAAAAATTCGAATCTAAATGCATATAGGCCTATTTAAACTCGGAAAAAAAATCTATAAAAATTCCCAAATATATTTATCATATTTTTATATATTTTAAGTTTATTCTCCGCTCGTCGATCACCGGTTAAAACGCCACGGAAAGGGGGGAGAGGAAATAGAATCATTATTATTAGAAGAAAAATTAAAAAAGTCATCCAGAGATGGCGCTAAAAACATAAGGTATAAGTTTTATAACCTGTCTGCTGATGTCATTAAGAGTCGACCAATGTAACAGGGTAAAACGTGAATAACTGGAATAAGGCATGCGAAAGTTAGCAGCAGCGTTATGCTGCGTGTCTGTCTTCGTAGTTTTGCTCGTTTACCAGCTTCATAATCGTCAGAATTACTTTTATTCCTTGGTCGACGAAGCTAACGATACTAAAGTGAGTACTAAACCATCGAATGGGATCAAAATAATACTCACGTGGACCAAATTCTTTGCTAAAAAAGACTGGTTACCCTCTAACGTAGAGCAGTTCGATTGCGTAGTCGGCGATTGCATGGTAACGTCCGATAGAAGGATGCTTAGGAACAGTTCAGCCATCATCTTCCACTGGAGGGATGTGAATCTCCACGATCTACCTGACGACCAGGGGGATCAAGTGTGGATCTTGTATAACATGGAATCACCAATGCACACCCCGCGTAACGTCTTAACTAAACTTTCCCCTAGACTCGATTGGATCGTTACGTACAGACATGATTCAGATTTCGTCTCGAGCTACGGCAGGGTGGTTCCTGGTAAAGAAGTCATCGCCATCGAGAACAAAACCTCTTTAGTGGCTTGGTTGGTAAGTAACTGTGATGCTGCTAGTAACAGGGAGGATTACGCGCACGAGCTAGGACGCTATATACAAGTGGACATTTATGGTAACTGTGGCAAGAAATACTGCCCCCATATACCCGCTTCCGAGTGTTATAGGAAACTAGGGAGGAACTACAGGTTCTATTTATCATTCGAAAACTCTATATGTAAGGATTATGTTACGGAGAAGCTATTTTATGCCATGAAATACGGTATGATACCTATCGTGTTCGGTGGTTCTGACTATAAAGACATACTTCCACTCCATTCTTACATAGACACACAAGACTACCCTTCTCCTAAAGTTTTAGCTGAGTATTTACATAATTTATCAACCAACGAAGATGAGTTTGCCTCATATTTTAAGTGGAGAGACAGTTTTCAAATAGATGTTACGCCTTATAAATGGTTATGTAATGTGTGCCGTAAGTTACACCAAAATTTCGTTCACGATTCTAAAAATACCGAAGATTTAGAGAGTTGGTGGTATAAAAAGTCCGATTGTCGTGTTTGGAAAAATGGAAAGTTTTTACCCCTTTAGACTTTTGTATTGGAAATTTGAATACAAAATTAAATATTAAACGTTATTATTGAAGCTGGATCAGTTTCAGAAATCCAGCGGATTTTTTTTCTTTTATAAAATTGATAATTAATTTAAGTTGTCACGCGATTAATTTAAGTCGTAGAAATTGAATTATTGAAGTTAAAAATTCATGTGATTAATTTATGATCGGTTTCAGATACTGATTAATTAACTTTTTCTAAATATCGTGTGGTTTTGAGACTAAGAAATTGAGTGATAAATTTAATCACGTGGTTTTTGAGACAGAAATTGAGTAGAAACGTTTTGATCACGTGATTTTGAAAGTATGAAATCGAGTATCTAATACTTTTAAACGTCACATAGCTGAAATTCGATTACAGAAATTGAATAAAAAGTGTTAAAATACACGTGATTAATTTATTATCAATTTCAGAAACTGAGTAATTATAATTTATTTAAAAAGTCACATGCTCTTCTTTTTAATTAAGCAATTGAATAATTAAAATGATTAAGGAAATCACATGAATTTTTAAGATTAAAAAAAATCGAATACGGAATTTTACAAGTCGTGTGATTGGTTTCAAACATAATTAAAATAATCATAAATTTATTCGTTCAATTTCCTTAAATGGAATTTACGGAAATTAAACAAATAATATTGAACAGTCATGTGACAGGCTGGAATAAAAGTAGGTTTTAGCAATAAATTTCGTGTAAATTGAATGATTTTAGATTATCTTATATAAAAAAAAAAGAAAGAAAGAAACTGGAACTCAATTTCTAATTTAATCACGCTATAGGGCGTGTTTATTGAACTGTAAGGCTATAAATTAACGTAATTAAGTGAACAGTTTTTATATATTTAATTAACGAATCGAAAATGAACACAAATTTCGCAATTTTTAAGACTTATGTGAGAAAGTGCACAACTTTTTTGCAAGTGATCTATCTCGAGATTGCGATTTATCACCAAAAAAACGGTCACGTGACAACAAATTTAACCGTATTTTTACTCTCCCCAATCTTTACTTCAACATGTTTTCTTAACCTCGATATATCGATTAGCGATTCTTTAATTTATCGAAAAATATATTGGTGCGTAATTATAGATTTCATTCGCCAACTGTCGAATTTGATTGATTGTTATAAGCGAGGAGGAATGGCGTTATAACGAATATATATAACTGTACGTCGATATATATACTCTGCCTTCAGGAATGATCCATCAGCGTGATTGAAGGTCGTTATTAATCATAAATTAACGAGTTTATACAGTTTCTGTTGTAAATATTTAGATAATTTTGTTGTTTTTTTTTTATGTGTTTTACCTCGTTTTTAGTGAGTGTAAGGTTGGTTCAAACCGTTATAACGTTGATTTCCTTCCTCTTAAGTATCGATTATCAAGCGAATTAAGACTTATGTAATATATATATAATCGATGGAAAGATTTTGTAACATTGAACGAATGTTATAAAAACATTCGTTAATGTATTTTATAATATAAAATTATATTTTTATACCAATTTACTCGCTGTTTTATCAGGACGAGTGCGTTTTTTAACTTGAAATTTAAGCTTTTATATACAGAAAATTTGATAGTATCTGTCTGACGAAGTGTAGATTTTTATCTGTTGTTTATATGTCTCGAGGCTATACTTTGTATGGCTTAAATCAGAGTTTCTCAACCTTTTTTTTTATTCGCGTACCCCTAGGGGTACGTGAACTACTGGTTGAGAACTGCTGGCTTAAGCTATCTCTATATTTACAAAATCAAGCATTTAGTGTTATTTATTATAACATTTTTTCCTGCATTAAAAAGTTATAAATTGTGTTAATAATAGAATATATATATAATTAATATATAACGTGTTGCTTGTGCAATATTTTGTTTTATTTATAATTAAATTAATTAATGCTGTTACGTAAGCGAATATTACATAGGGTGGCCCAAAAGTTAGTTAACCATTGCTAACTTAATCGTATATTTCACTACGTTCTCATCAATTTTCTAAGAAGAAAAACATGCTCGGTAATCATTTTACGCAGTCTGGAAGACGTAAGCAGTTAACTGACTTTTAGGCCAACCTACATAAGCAATATCGTATGGAGGTTCGTATACTAGGCTATATATTTCTGTTTTTCATGCCTTTATATATTACAAACTTCCGAGAAATAGAAATAAATGACGTAGTATGCATACCTATAGGCATATAGTGTTGTCTGTTTGTTTACAGGGCGGCTCAAAAGTAAGTTAACCGCACTAATTATAGTACACACTTAAATATACTATTTAATTATTTTTAACGCTTTAATTAAGAATAAAAATAGAAATCTTCGTAAATTTGATAATCGCAATTTAAATTTTGTAAACTAGAGCCTCTTTAGGACAAATTTATATGCAAATTTCCTTATAAATAAAAGTTTCATTTCATACATTGCGTCACTGTTAAGAGGAAGCGGTACTTATTGCAATATATTTAGTAACTTACAACCGGTTTCCAGATGTTTTTAGAAATGAAAGGAGGAAAAAAATGGATTCAATTAACTAACACTAGGTGCAACAATGCTATTTTGTTTTTTAATTAAATCGAACTATCTTGCCCTCTTTTCTAATGGAATGGAAGTAGAGCGTGCATGCTTTAAATACGTAAGGGGACATTTCTTATAAAATCGTTATCTGAACTTACGAAAGTGAACCTTGTTTAGGATTTTTATTTTAATTAAACGTTTAAAACTCCCAGTGGCGTGCCGTCCTTGGAAGCGGTGGATGCGCTGCTTCTCTTGTATTTTCTAAAATATAAATACACATTGTGCGATTATTTTCATATTTTAACGTACTTTGAATTAATTAAAATTTATATTTTATTTAACCGCATTATGTNAGAAAATTTGGAGAAACTATCTATGTCGTTTTCCTTGCTAATAATAAAAAATATTTTTTATAAATAAAAGAATACTTTTTTCAAACAACACGTGGGGATATTGTTGAGAGATAATAATAACGGTAACACACTCCACCATCAAAAGTCCGTAGCATAATCACTAATCACACACAATTGTATCCCCACTATCACTGACCGGCAACATTTATTGATCTGTTGCATTGTACAATCGGGAGCATAAGTTTTTATTTCTGTTTTTGCGTTTTGAAATGTATAATAAAGTTTGTGATTGTTGCAAGGGACGATTTTTACCTAATACTTTTTTAATACTATTAATTTGTGATACATAATATATTATTTTTTCTGCCATAATAAGTAACTTTTTTCTGTACCCCTAAACAATCTATCGCGTACCTCTGGTTGGAATCGGTGCTGTAAGCAATGTGTTACTGTTAAGACATTAATCATTGAAATTATTGGAATGTTATGTTTATGACCCCAATAGATTTTTCTGTGGAGATTTTAAAAGCTGAAAATATTTTTGATTTTAATATTTCTGTTGACACACTGTGTTTTTCTAAAAGCAAAAATATCATTTTGTTGAATGGTAGTTTGGCCAGAGGGCTGAGCATTTATGGCAGAAGCCTACTGTTCTGGGATATGCAGGATGGAATCTAGATACATCAAAAAACTTCAGGAATTTTTTTAGGGATAGTACAACCGGATACCTTGGGCCCCGACTCTCATCACCCTGCTGAATTTATAATACGTTTGTTAAGAAATGTTAACTGTCCCTATTTTAGGTTCCATTGGAGTGTTAGTGCCCTCGTGTTGCCAGCGAAGTTATTGATACAATAAGCTTGGGTAACAAAGTCCAGCTGGAAACAAACTTTTACCAGAAGAGATTCGAAATGGTTTCAGAAAATGGTACTGCAAAGTGAAGAATCCCCCGAAGTCTGGGTTTTGGAGATCGAAGCGTGGTCCGTTTACGTGTGCCATCCAAAAGATCTATGCCACTGCAGTTTACTTATGTTGTGAGGAGAATGGCAAAGTCAATGTACAGTTTCTGGCAGCAAAATCTCGTCTGGAGCCGTTAGCAGGCATTACAATTTCTCTGATGAAATTATTAGAGGACAACTTGCAAAATTTATTGTAGAAGCTTTGGCGCTTTTTAAGGTTCCTGTACAGTTTTGACAGATAGGTCTTGTTCTTGTATGGATAAGACATAATCAAACGGGAACCTTCTTAGAAATAGAGTTTGAGAAATTTTCATACTGACCCCAACCAATGAAAGTAATATGCCTGGAATACTGAATCCTGCTTCAGTATTCAGGACATTCCTTCAATTTTTTATTGCTATTTTCAGAATTCTTGGAGGAAGACCAATAAATGTCATCTGAAGATCGATTGTAAATCTTTGGAAGGAGGAATGATTCTCTGCTTCAAATGTCAGATCTAAATCAAAGCAAATCAGATCTATTACAGCAAAAACTTTCAGGAATTTCACTATCGAAATTGCAATAGTCACGAATTTTAAAATGCCTTTATTTATAAATGAGGATGTTTGTTTGTTTGTTTGCTATGCACGCCTAACCCGTTCGACCAATTGCTACGAAACTCAGCACATAGTTCAAGTTCTTCTAAACTGGATCATGTCATACATTCCACCCGAAATTATCGATTGGATTTCTCTGTATCAATTAATTTCTGTCTACATTTAATTAGCTGGCTTTACACGTAGCGCCAATAATTAACTAAAATTAATTCTTACAAAAACAAGAATATAATTTTACAAAATATATATATTATATTCACTTAATTACTGTGACAATGATATAGCGCGTAATAGACGCGCCATTACGCCATTACTACGACAGGTAGCACATAGCACTTACCTGCATGGAGTAGTGTTTTGCCTCCGTACATCATATTTTTCCCGTTAGTAACAGTAGGTTATGTATCTAACTCCGTAAAGCAGAAAATATATGAATTTAAATATTGTGACTGGGCCTCCTGCTCTTAAACTCTCCTATCTGGTCTCCACTTTCATCTGTCTAACTCCGTTCTGGAGATTTAGGAAGGACAGACAAAATATAAAAATATCTTAAAATTTGAGCTGAATCACTATAATATATATAATATAAGAATAAATAAAGATAATACATATATTATATTTAAATTATTGTTTTATTCATTTCTAATAAGCAAAGATATATGAAGTGGGCCTAATTTAGATGATTAAATTGGGAATAAGCCAAGACAATTTGACATTACAGGCATTTTTTTCATGAGGCTGGAACGAGTGTTCGTAGTTTTTTCATTGATTAAAAGTAAAAAAATATGAGAAAATTAGAACATATCTTCCATATTCCTACCTTAGAATAGAATTCGATTAGTTATAATTAAACTCAAGTTTGCTTCCTGCAATACTTACAAAAGTGGGTCAGTCTATCGAGTCTGCTGCAGTGACACGTTATAGCTTCATTGGGCCTTGGCAAATTTGAATTAGGGGGTTATGCGTACAGTGTTACCTTCAGACATTTTCTTATTTCAGGCT